AAAAAAAAAAAAGAGAGATAGCATTGCCTAGAGATTCCATCAGTAAAGAAGCTGGGGAGACAGTGACATATCACAATCATCACCATCATCTTCATTGTCATTGTTCTCACCATCAGCATCCAATATTTATAGTTGTTTATCCTTGTAATATGCAATCAATCTCAGTGGGTGTAATTCATTTTAAATGTTTCCTATAAATTCAGGGGTGCTTTGGAACATAAAAAATGAGTAATTTCCCCATGTCATTTGTTTAAAAAGAGAAAAAGATATAAGAAACAATGAGACTATCTTTAATTTTATGCACAGAAACCTGAAATTTGTGAAAATTTCAAAAGCAGCTTCTCTACACTCTCCTCTCTTAATCTTTCTTCCTAGTTAGTAGAAGTCTGAAGGAAAACCCTAAATATTATATAAGAATGTGGATGGGTACTTATTCATAGACCTGATAAACTTCCTACTTGTGAAAGATGTTTCAGAATATGACATATTTGATGCAGTCTACCTTAAGTATGTGTTTGACAAGAAATCTGCAGTGTTTCTTTAATTTTTTGAAATGTATACAGACTGTTCCAATACATTCAAATTAGTGATCGCATCACTCTTTTGGTAATATCCTTCTTTCTAGACTATGTTTCTCTTCTTGGCATAATTAATACAGGAATAAGCAACTCAATTAAGGGAACTTCTTAGTCTTTCTACAAAGAAATGTGTTTGTAGGGTCCTGAGTCTTTGTTCCCTTCTCAAGTAAAGAGATTGGTAGTCTCTTCTCCAAACACCAAACATCAACAGAAGCCTAAGTGGTCCTTCCCTACACTCAAGAAGAAACTTATTTTGTTGCTTTAATTTTCATGAGGGGTAGGAAAGATATACAGAGGCCACAGTGCCCAGCCCTAGATGTCATGGAAGGTCATCATGACCACTCACAAATGCGATACTCTAAATCCCTCCTAGTCACAGCTTTCATGACCACTCACAGCTTGGGAGGACCTGTAGGCAGAAAGAACTCCCACAGACATCATCATCCTAGGGATGATAACCCTCCACTCACAAAAGACTCAGAATTCAATGTTCTGTCACTGGTATTTTCTACATATTACTACATATTTGTAAGCAAACATATATGATCCGTTACCTGCTATTTTACAAGCTACAAGTATATCTTTTAGGCAAACAGAACTACCTCAAATCTATCCCAAAATGGAAAGTAGCTCAAGTTCAAGGGTGCAATTCCTAGAAGATATATTTCAATAACTAGGCTTAATAATCAAAAAGGAATTAAAAATCTTATAACTAAATTAACAAGATGATCATCTTCCTAGCTGTTAAAGTTTGCCCTGTTATTACATTACACATTTATAAATATGAACTAAATTATATGGAAGTTATCATAAACCATTACGTGTGTGTACAGTACCAAGAGTTTAGATTGGTACCATTTTTCAATGATACAATATCACTGAAAAGTAAAAGACATACTTTTTATTAATTTTGTCTTCTTAGTTATCAATTCCTTTAAATAGACATGGTTCAAAACTAGACCATATGTCTTAAACAAGGTAATATTAAAGTAAATGTAATCAAAGTAAATATCTATATAGATGGATATATTTTATCTATCTATCTATATATATATACACACACACACGAAAAAAAGATAGAGGCAAACAAGAAATTAATGCTGGGTGTGATGTGCTGAGACACATGTGAGGTGTGACCCTGTATCTCTGAGTCACAAACAGCACTGCAAACCAATGTTATCTCAAGAAAATATTTTTTAAAATTACAGAAAAAGGGGCCTCCCTGGTGGCACAGTGGTTAAAGTCCCAGCTCTATCAAGCTATCACCAGCCACAGCAGCAAGGCTGCCATTCCCAGATGGCCAGGGAGCTCAGCCACATGGCACAGCAGACCTCTCCAGTCTCACCAGTGGTGAGACTCCAGTCTCTCCTCAGCAGTGTATTTCAATAGATATGCCTGTTCTGTTCCCCACTCTGTCTCTGGTGAATCTTTTCACCCTCTGCACCTCTGACCTACACCCCAGTTCTTGTAGGCATAACTAAATAAAAATAAATCTTTTAAAATTACAGACAGAAAATAAAGTTTAAGAGTTGGGTGTTCAATGGTCCTCTATTCCCTTTTCCCTTCGATTATGTAGAAGATATTTGGGATATCTTCTCTCTATTCTCTCAGTATCTTCTCTCTATTCTTGCCCTAAAAGACTGTGGGATCCATACTCTAATATATTATCTCTACCATCTCAATAGCAAAATTATTCTAGTCTCAACATAATATCATCAGTCCCAAAACAATTTTATAAATGCTTTTTACACCGGATATAAATTTAATAATATTGTTTATGGAATTTTATAGTATGTCTTCCCAAAAGTGCATTTGGGAATGCATAATTAAATTTATTTATTTGTTGCATGCAAATTGCTGGAGGTAAAGATGTCACTGCAGGGCAGGAAGAGGCTAGTAATGTTACACAGACCAACCAGAGCATGTAATTATGTTGGGTGTTTCCCTTGGACAGATTGGGGGTAATACGAGACAACGGTCTGGCAGAGATACTAAACTAAAATCAATGGACACCACCATAGCAGGCGATTACAAGGCCATAGCAGGCGATTACAAGGCAATACAGCTTTTGCTCTAGCAAATATAGCCCTGTGCTATTCTTATGGAAGAAGTCTCAAAACAGTTAGATGAACTAGAAACCTAGAGAAGCAAAAGAAAGATACATGAGTCTCTAGATTATCCTAGTAGCATCCTACCTTTAATTTACCAAAAAATAGTGTAAGGGGCTCTTAAAACTATGACTGCGATTTTTCTTTCGACTTCCTAGGAGGCTACTCACGCTTCAGGAAATTCAGCAGGAAACTATTATTGAAAAGAAAGCAGCAGAAGACCCCTAAAATTCACAGTGGCCTAATAAAAAAAAATTTTATTTTTTATTACCTACCACAACCGGTCATATGGAAATTTTGCACTTAAAAGTTTATGTATTTGTCAGGCACACAAGTACTAACTACTAGTCAAGTACTAACTACACTTGGCATAGCAAGATCATGCCAAACAGTGAAGTCCCCGCTCACTCATCGGGAACCTAGATTTTATAGTGGAGACAGATCTGATAAGCTCTCTCTTGACATCCCTGATGTGATTCTGAACTTAGGAAACATGTACTCAAAATATGGCCAGAGGAGCTGAGAGTCACAGCAGTAAAGTGTAACACTGAGGCCTTAAAATGGCGGATTTTATAAATTTTGGAGCTGCTAGGGGGTATTCACATGTCAGAAGGGGCTGTGCCTAATCAGAGTCAGTACAGAGCATGGAGTGCCTGCGGCAGATGTCACCAGTGCCCCGGCTGCAAGGCAGGGACTTCCTCTCCAGTGCTGTTGATCCTGTCCCTCCCAGGTCTTCTCAGGTGGTCTGAGGTGAACAGGGGCAGTCAGGAAATTCAGTGCTGCCAGCAACTCCCAAAGACCAGCAACACCACAACTGTCCCCACCCCAAAGCTCCTTCTCACTTCCTTTAGCCTATCTACACCAAAACCTACATCAACACCTTAAGACAATATACCAACAATCTCTTAAGCACAAACAGATCAAAACTATACATAAATTATTAAAAACAATAAAAATACCTTGTGATGTTGGCATTCAGAGATGCTAGCACAAAAATAATATTTGCTAGTACTAAAAATGTATCACAAAAAGATACTTAAGTGATCTCTGTATGATTCATTTCAGAGAGTAATCAGGAATTGCAGAGAGGGAAAGATAGAAATAAAATAGAAATAAAAGGATAATTTTTTTTTCACTGAATTTGACTACAACCTTTATAGTCAACCTACCTCAAGTTTAAGTAAGTCAGCATCTGCAGGTTAATGATGGCCTCAGGAATGACTCTGATACAATTATGATACAGATTAAGAATTTCCAGTGATACAAAATGGCACAATTCCATTGGAACTTCAACCAGTCTGTTTTTAGATAAATCTGTGAGAAAAGAAAAGAATATTATGTTAACATTTAAATCTTTAACATAATTCATACAATCTTATTAACTATTGCTACTTTTGTATTAAAATCTTTGAAAATAAACATTATGATCTAAATTTAAATAAAAAAGGTAATGTTAATTTAATTAAACACCTTGTGTTACTGTTTATTGAGGTAGAGCTGTATCCATTCAAAAGTACAGGTTCACACCTTTACAATGTATGTCACCATACCACTCAGCACCAACGCCACATGCACTGGGCCTGCTTTGCTCCTCGTTCCTGTGACGAGTCACCTGTGCCCTTTGCTCCCAGTGCCCATCCTCCCCTTTCGCTAGTTTCTGTACCACTGTTAAGAAGGGTGCTGTGATCTGCATTTTCTGTTTAAGCAATAAATTATACCACTGACACCATGGTCCAACTAGAAAGTTCACAAAAGGAAATCAACATGTGAATCTCTTTTCTAGATACAAATGTAAATTTGATTTACATAAAAATATTAACATACTATGACTAAGTGGAGTTTATTTTAGGAATATAAGGTTACTGTGTTATTTAAACAGACAGAGTGAAAGTGAAATAGCATCTTATAGATATTTAAAAAGTATCTTTTTAAAACAACTTTATTGAAACGACTCTTAATGTCCTGTTGCAAATGCACAATAAATGTGGCACATGTTAAACCATCAATCCTTTCTATAGAAAGTCCTGGCAATGTGTCTATTAGCCTAATTTTAAATTGTATTCTGTCACTTTTAATCCTTTTGTGTGAGTGATTAGTTCATTCATTTATTTCTTTGTTTTTTAATGATTCAGACTGCAGTAAATTTTCTCTGAGACTTTTTCAAATACAATGTACAAACTGTGAGCTGCCCAAGTTTTGGCAGACAGAACCACCCAAATCCTTGTTTATAGTAGTTCTGTTTTGTATGTCTGCTTTGAGGACTCCTGTTTCTGACAGGAGTCAGGCTACACATTATAAATAATTAAGTTACAAGGTGTTAACAGTGGGCATCTGCCATTGCCAACCAACCTCACTAGACAGATGAACGTGTTACAGGGCACCCCAGTGTGTACTGGGCTGCCTGTCTGTGGGTCCTTACCCCCCGCGCACTTAAACTTTAGTTGTAGTGTAGGCACACACAAAAAGGTCTATAATCGATTAATTTACAAAAAGGGAAAGGAAAAGGAACATCCCAGGGAAAGAGAATATCCCAAGGTAACTAGAATATCTTACTGGCTCAGCTGACTTGGAGCTCTAGTAACAAACTAACTGATAGCCCCCAGTCACACGGTCCCAAGAGAGCTGTTGCCCTAAGGAAAGAGGGAACCACTGAAATTGATGCCCTACTTATCCCCCAAAGTCCCAGAATGCCTGCTTAGCTCTGCCCTTGGATCCTCGCAGTTCCCTCCCTAGTACTGCTGGGAGTTGTAGTTTCCAGTCACTGGAGTAGGGGGTAGAGTCCAGAAAGCTGGAGTAGGGGGTGGAGTCCACAAGACTATACAGAGTTCCTTTAGGACATCCTACCCCTTAACAAACAGATATCTGTGACCAGAGTTAGCAAACATATCCCCATGTAAAGTGCCCTTTCATCTGGGTTTGATTTCCAGTTTCCACATGGAAAGGGAAACAAACCTGTATTTCAAACCCTACATGTAGCTTTGACTCTTTCAGTGTCTATAAAAACAATTGCCTAGATAGATAGTGTTCAAATTTAAACCAAGCTGGAAAAGAAAAATAGCTCATATGCTGATGTATTCATCCACATTTACAAGTAAGTACATGGTTCCTGCAGAAATGAAAAACACACAGGTCTACTGAAGAGCGTATCAATTACAATGTAAGATGAGGCAAATGTAGAATGAACCCTAAGTAAAATGTGCAAATTGTGCTTAATAGGAAAAAAAAAAGGTGCAAATAAGGAAACTAAAAATCCAGTTTGGGGCCCTCCCTGGTGGCGCAGCGGGTTAAAGCACAGCACTGAGAATCTGAAGCCACTTCCGCATGAGTTCGATTCCCGCCTGTCGCCTGCCCCGGAGGAGACCACATGGCGAGCCAGACCTCTCCTGGCCTGCCCGCTGCTCCCCTCAGCAGTGTACTTCGTGGATCTGCCTGTTCTGCTCCCCACTCTGTCTCTGGTGAAGCCTCTCACCGCCCCTGAGCCTCTGACCTGTACCCCAGTTCTGTATGCACAAATAAATAAATCTTTTAAAAAAAAATTTAAAAAAAAAATCCAGTTTGCTAAGTAACACTCCCCCCACTTGCATATTTCCATCACGCCTGACACTGACTGAAACTTTTCAGTACTTTATTTAAACTACGGAATAGAACAGTGTTAGCACCAGAGTAAAGAGGAAGAAATGAAGGTTCAGAAAGTTTCTGTGACTTTCCCAAAGCCATCACGATGAATAATGCACTTCCATCTAGGCACATCTCACTCTAAGGCTTGCGAGAGTTCCCACACAAGATCATTCTTTCTCTATGGAATAATGGCCAGAATTTGCCCTGAAGCTAGATTACTAGGAAGATACAACAATTAAACCTTCACTGCACTCTTATTTGTCTAAAATACAATTACAATAAAGTTAACATGTGTTCTGTGGATAGACCCAAATTACAAGACAGTTCTTACAAGCATTATGTTTAAAATAGAAAGCACTGAAAACACAGCTGATAGGCTAATTTCTGGAAATGGCCAGAAATTTAAGCAGAAACCCTGACTTAAATTTCAAACAATGCTGGACTTTGTAAGTACTCTGTTCCATTAAAAAGTTTAGAATGAATTTACAAATACATGACTTACTTTTCTTACTTGTATATGAGTATCTTTCATTCTCAGCTAATTTTTACCATTGGTAGAGAGAACAAGCACATTTGCTTCCCTATGCAGAAAACACTTCGTGTCTTGCAACTTGAAATGTAAAAGGTAACCCACCATGAAGTCTGGATGAAGACGTTTTGACTTTGATTATCCACAGTGGATAATCCAATTGCAAACAGTGCAGACATGGTATATAAATTTGTTCAAAATGTTCCTGTTAGATGAAAGCAAGGAACTAAAATGAAGCCTGATCCCCCTTTAAAAGAAGAGAAAACGGGAGGAAGCAGGAGGAAACAGCAGGAGAAGAAAAGAAGAGACAGGAGGAGGTGTGGAGGAGGAGGAGGAGTTATAGGTAGAAAGAAAGGTCCAGAGAGATTAGGTTACTAGACTGAAGACACCAAGTAGTAAGTGGCAGGCACAGGAACTAAACTCTGATCCATTGCTCATTGTACCTTAGAAAAAGTCCATTGTTCATGTGGGAATCTCTTGGAAAGAAAGAAAATTAATGAATACATTCATTTTGGGTGCCTGGTCAGGAGGCATTAAATGATCCCATAGTTCTATGCTAAAAATAATGACCAGATTCATAATATTTTCTCCAGAAAGAAGAGCACATGTCATTGATCGGTGCCTTGCTTTCCCAACCCAAGATGGACACTGTCCTTGCTCTCTAGAAACTCACTCTGGGGTGACCCTCTGCACTGGAGAGGGGGGACACACCAGAACTCGGCACCAACACAGCGGGCAGCAAGCCAGAACCCCGGAGCCACTCCTTCCCAGCACTGCTAGTTATCTGACGTGTCCACTTGAAAGCTGCACAGTCAGAAATAAAACAATAAGTTTTGCCATGGCCAAAACAAACTTTGCAAATCCCTAAAATAAAGTAGTCAGATGAATAAAAATAAGCAGGGGAGGGTAGAAAAACAGTCAATGGAATCTGGTGTATAGTCAGCACCATTGGAGGCTCAATGTTGTTTCTGTATAAAAAAGGAAAGTGGGGTTCAGGAGGAATTGGATGGGGCCAGCTCTCCAGCAACAACATCCTGAGTGATTGGCCACAGGCAGGCATGAAGCAGAAGGGGTGACAGGCGGGTGCGGCTGCAAACCTCCTCTGCAACATCTTGTTTTATGATCAGAAAATACATCTAATCTTGGAGGTTGACATCATGCCCACTGTAGAAAGCTCAAAAGGCATTTTTTTTGAGCTGAATGTTATCGCAGAAGTTTAATTTTAGAATATTAGCATTAATGATGATGTCCCAATAACTGGCAACCTGCCAAGGACAGCAGGGGACTGTTTCCCTACATGGAAGTGGGCGCCCTCCAGGGGCCAGGCCTCAGATACAGGGAGGGGTGGAGTCCCTGAACAGGCCACAGCCTTCACTGTGGAAGAATCTCAGTTCTATTACAGGGACTGTCCCACAGGTGGACCACCCCTCACTTCAACTCCTCCCTCAGCTCAGACACCCTTCCCTGCCCAGTGAGTCACAGCACAGGGGCACTCCCGGGACACCTGCACATTTGGAAATGCCCTGGAGGAAGGGAGCACTGCTCCAGTGAAGCAGAGCACTGGAGGCTGACTCACCCTTGACTCTGCAGAACCCCACTTTCCTTTTTTAGCCATTACCACCTAATGCTTCCCAGGTTAAACAAGCAGAAATAATAAACAGATTCTTAAATTTTGAATGAGTCAGTCAACATCTCCAGCCATAGATTTAAAAGATCATGAAAAAAATATCAACCTCAAGCAGCAGTGATTTGTTAAACATAAGCCATAGGTTTGCCTTGATCTTAAAATGTCAGCATCTTCAAGTTTCTAACTCTGTACTTTCTTTTTCTTAACACCTAAATGAACTTCTAACCAGCAGTACAACTTATTCATGTATTTTGGTTGTTAGTTTTCTCCCCCCTACTAGAATGTAAATTCCATGACACTGGAATCTTTATACTATTCACTAATAGTTAATGAGTGTGGCTGAGAAACAGATTCTCAGGTTAGTGTAAGCGAAAATCCTGGTTCTGCCACCCAGCTGTGTACACTCGGAAATGATCACTTTAATTTCTCTATGCCTCAGTTTCTTCATTTATAGTATGAGGATGATAATAGTACTGCTGCTACTGAATTAATGGAGGAATTAAATGAGAGTATGTCTGATGTACTTACACAGCAGCAACA